TTAACGCCTAGACAATTCTTGATAATGAATGGGACTTATAGAAAATACAGCTGAATTGCCATATTTGCATAATAATAAATCGGATACTGCCTTTGATAAAAAGTAACTTAGGGTGTGGACAAAAACCCTCTATCTTTAAGGAATACCCTATACAGCAGGTCAGCCATTAATGCCTGGATCTCAGAAACTCTCTTGGTTGAAGTGATCACCACTAGGAATACAGCCTTCAATGGAGTGTTGCAGGGAACATTCTGATTATGGCACAAACAGTGGTTTCATTAATTTGGTGGGTATTAGATGTAAGTTCCAGGAATGGGGCAGCTCTTGGACAAATGGAAATGAGAAGAAAGCCTTTAAAATAGAAATCTGAACTCTGTTTGTCCCCCAAAAATGTATCTACAACTTTGTCAGTGACTCAGTCCTTTAAAATATTTAGCTTTGATTAGCAGTAGTGCCATAGTTCCAAGTTAACTTGTCTAAATTTATAAATACATAGTCCTTTTGAGTTACTGGAGTACAGTTCTGTTCCTGGCTCTGTCACTCAGTTCTTTTGTAGACTAGGGCACCTACACATCAACGTTTAACTCACTGTTTATAGTATTATATCATCTTTTATCTGATGACCTCAAAGTATTACTGTATTTATGCAACTTGGCCTATCTTTTTTTTAAAACAGGATGAGGCATCATCACTTGAGTTTGAAATAAGTGCTACAGCATCACCAGAAAAAAATCCAAAAGTCATTGAACTACACAAGGAAAAGCAAGTGGCACATGTAAGAATTCTTTAAGTACACAAGTTGGTTAGCCCTCCCCCCTAAAAAAAATATATTCAAGAAAAATAGAACCTGAAATGATAGAATTATGCACAATTAGATATGTACATAATTGGAATTAAATTGCAGTTAGTTAGGCAAATAGATTTTTTTTTGTCATCATCTGAAGCGGAGACAAGATACCATTTATGGGAATATATATCATGTAGATATTTCATGAATGCAATAATAATAATTACTTCATTAAGTTATATTTTAATTGAATACATTGTCTATTCTAAACATACTAATATTCATACTTTAATGTTCCCCTACTTCATATAGGTCTTTTTGGAAGGACTACATAACCAAAAGCCAAAACATCATGTTACCATGCTGATTATTGGGATAGGTTCAGTATTTGGCATTTTATTGTTTTTGCTTATAGTGCTGTTACTCTGGAAGGTAGGATTTTTTTTCCTTTATCAATATTTCTCTGCTATTTTCATTGAATCCTTTAAAAACAGGAATAATATGCTTTATTATGATCTGTACTAAAGAATAACAAATCCTGGTATGATTAATTCCCTTTTTCCAAAAACCTCTTTTAAAGTTTTTTCTTCATTTGTCCTTTTTACCCCATGTTTTCCCTATCTCAGTAAAAGTACTTATTGACATTAACTTACCTCTTTGCGATCTTTAATTCTGTACTCCAAGTTTTCCCCCATATTTATGGGCCAGATTTGCATAATTTCCCTCCAGAAGTCAAACATAATTTTTTTAGGCTGCTGCTTCATGTTTTTGCTATTCTGATGGACACACAACAGAATGGTCTACAATATTCCTAACAGAAAAGGTGAAAATGGTCTTGTTGCTTGCCAGCATTAACTGTTTTAAATTCTAAGTTCTTGTATATGAACACTAGGGCCAAATCTTGCTCCCCACTGTTAGTGGCCATACAAGGTCCAGAAAAGTTCTGATGGGGTAAGGTATTGTTCACTTGGTGTACCCCTTGCTTGCCAAAGGCATTTCTTTTGTGCCATAGTAAGGGAAGCTGGGGATTAGACATCTGTGAATGTGACTCCACTAGTCATTCTTCCCACAGAAGAGTTCAGAAGTGTAACAAATGCTGGGATTTCATCATCGTTCCATATCCTGGGCGGGAAGATTTTGGTCTCTGGACTTCCACAGTTCACAGCTCATTTGCTGATATTGTGAATGAAGGGAAAGGATTAGCCCCATAGATGTAAAGTAATTTTTAGTAATGCTGTCTTTTGCTATATTATGTACCAATTAGAAAAAAGTCTACATTTTTAAAAATTAGTTCATATCAATAGGGCAGTCATTTTAATAGTAACATCACTGTTACTCCCAAAACAGAGTAACAAGCTGATACTTAATCGCATATGCCAGCACGTCATCTTAATCTTTTATAAAAAGAAAAGGAGTACTTGTGGCACCTTAGAGACTAACCAATTTATTTGAGCATGAGCTTTCGTGAGCTACAGCTCACTTCATCAGATGTTTACCGTGGAAACTGCAGCAGACTTTATATACACACAGAGAATATGAAACAATTTTGTTTTTTGTATTTTTTGTATTTTGTAGGTATTGTTTCATATTCTCTGTGTGTATATAAAGTCTGCTGCAGTTTCCACGGTAAACATCTGATGAAGTGAGCTGTAGCTCACGAAAGCTCATGCTCAAATAAATTGGTTAGTCTCTAAGGTGCCACAAGTACTCCTTTTCTTTTTGCGAATACAGACTAACACGGCTGTTCCTCTGAAATTAATCTTTTATACTGTTCAAAGTAAGTGGATTTTATTAAATCTGACGAATTAAGAATTTGCTGACACACACCAATTGATTTTGAAATTTTTTTTCAGTCTGGCTTCTTTAAAAGACGTTATCAACCTATCCCACAAGAGCAGCCCAAAGAGGAAGTTGGAACTTTGTAAACGGCAATAAGGAGGACCAAGATGACAATTAAAGGCTTCTTTCAAATGATGAATTTCAGGCTCAGTGACTTACATGATGAACGCTGATGAGAGAAAACTGATAACGAGTCTGTTGTTTACTCTTCGTGTTAGAATATACATTTGATTTTGCTGATCTGTGGAGGATTACACCTAAATGTAGCATCATCTTACTAAAATGCAAATGACAATCGGATCCTCAAATAAAGAAACTGTAATAGTAATATCTGAAATACCAGAAGTATCCATCTCTTCAAATGCATACAAGAACACTAAGCAGATAAAATGAAGAATTACTTACCCGAAGAAGAGTTCTTGGAACGTAGTACAGGATTATCAACCATTTTTGGGTAATAAGATCTCAATGGTTGGCCTTGGAGTGAATCATCACTCACTTAGCTTTCAACTTTCATTTCATTTTTAACTAGAGACTAAGATGAGATCCTCATCCCACTGTGGCACTTTTACACTGGGTAAAAGGCCTGAAGTGGTCAAGGGATGAGGCGTCCAGTGCATGCATTGTAGAAGACAGCCACAAGATCTTTTGAACACTCCTGCAGGTTCTGGACTAAGGCACATAACTACAGCGCTATGGAGGTCTTGGGTAGTGTAGTCCATAGGACAGCCTGGGAGGCTGCTGTAATTTAGACAAGAAGAAAAGGAGGACTTGTGGCACCTTAGAGACTAACAAATTTATTTTGAGCATAAGCTTTTGTGAGCTACAGCTCTGATGAAGTGAGCTGTAGCTCACGAAAGCTTATGCTCAAAATAAATTTGTTAGTCTCTAAGGTGCCACAAGTACTCCTTTTCTTTTTGCAGATACAGACTAACATGGCTGCTACTCTGAAACCTGTAATTTAGACAGACCTCCTGGGCTGTCTAAATTATGCCAGGGGCTACTCCAGTTCCAGAGCAGTCGAGGATTGGGAGGATGCAAAGGTGGCTTTAAAACCACACTACCTTCCCCTTCCCTGGGCTGGGAGTTCTGTGCTGAGCCTCTAAGAGGGGCAGCATAAAATCTTACCATTAATTGAGGTGCGTGGAAAGGTTTTTTGTGCTGATAAGCACTGAAAACACAATGTCCTGTCAAGGATGCATCACATTGAGGGTTACCTTGAGAGCGAGTCAAACATTTGAGGCCATCAGTATCAACCATCCTTAACATAGTACTAGCTGATAAGGACAGGAGCATACAGTTAATACTGTTTCTCCCTCGTTCTCTTCAAACAAACACCAAGAGCATGAGGTTTTGGAGTGAAAGACATTCATGTGTTTTCCTGAACAATTATTATTTGCAAGCGTTGCTATAATGCTGAGCATTGTAGTATTTAAGGACACTTCCAGTAGCAGACAGAAGAGGCTCTGATGAAAAGTTTAAAAAAAACCCTAACTCCATAGGGCTAAATTCCATCCTTAGATGTGCAACTCCAGCCCAAAAGTGGCTACCCTCTGAAACCTGTATAATAAAATAGTTGGGATATCTAAGTTCAGTTCTTACTGGATATGTTTTCAGCTTCATGCCACCATTGCAACTGGCACTCAAGTGTCAGTAGAAAGGAAAGAACTGAATTTATGTGGGGATTGAATTGCTGCTACAGGTGATCCCTTCAGGTTCTTAGAGAGATACTAGCAATGCCACCTACTTTTAGTACACTGATACCTGTTCTAGGTGGGAAAGGATTTCATTCTTTGGTCTATGCACCATCTCATCCAAGTGCTAAACTCATCTTAAACTTAATATGTCAACACATACTATGGCCTAGGGCTTTTTGTCCTTTCTCTGCTGTCTTTCTGGACTGCTACTAGAAACTTTAGTTCCAGCATCTTTTTTTTTATGTAGTAAGTGTGGACATCACACAAACTGATTATGCAACATCACTTGGTAATAAAGCTCGAGTTAATAGCAACAAAGATTGCCTTTAACCAGTTACTTTGCTAATCGAGTTATATACATTTTTCCAAAGTGGCGTTTTGACCTAGGCTAAAGAATCCAAAGGTAACAGAGCATGATTTTCCATAGAGGGCCAAGCACCTGTAGTTTTCATTTACTTCAGTTGGTGTCATGGGGGCTTCCATGCCTCTGAAAAACAGATCTCATCTCAAGGCATTGGATTTCTGTTCTAAAATATTCAGCATTATATTAAGAACAAATGTGTACATATAGAAAGATGATTTTTAGAACAAAATGTGCTATGAGTGAAATATTTCATCCTGAAAAACTAAACTATTTGCAAAATTTATATGCTAAAAAGGAATTGAAGAGTCTAGAGCCAAGTGAATTATTGCACTTTAATCAAAACGTATTCAAACAGATAATCTAATATAGTGTGTTGTGAGAACTGTACCTCAAATACTGAAAGCAGCATTAAAATTGCTTTAATACAAACAATGCAAGGAAATGAGATTACAAAGGATTTTTTTGGAATTGCTTTAGTGAGTAACTAAATGCACAAGTGTTACTTGGAAATTGCACATTGCTATTCAAACTATGGTATTAGTATGTAAATATTGATCAGGTATTTCTCTGAGATATGCAAGCAAAATTCAATTAATTTAACAAACAAATGTTGAGGTTTAATCTAAATAAGTAAATGAAAAATGTGAATGTAGGATTTCCTGATGATAGCATGTTTATTAATAAATGGTCATTCAATTGAATTTTATAACAACAACTATGTACACTAGTTTTTTGCAAATTTAATTATTTTGTTGATAATTTGCAGAGGTAATAAAATACAGTTAAATATATAATAATGATTTATAAAGATGGGATATCTTTAAAGAATCAAAGAAGAAATTCAGTTTTCACCACTCAAACACAGTACTTTAATGCTTCTGGATTAAGTATATAGCATCAAATTGCTCAGTTATAGTGGCACAAATCTGGAGTAGTGCCATTCAAATAACTAGTGACTTTCGTTTTACACCATTGTAATGGAGAGCAGAATTTGGTCCATGGGATTTACTTTGTAATCCACTATACTGCAGATTATTTGGCCGGTTACTGCAGGCCAAATTATGCCCACAGGTGCCTTCCCTGCAGTTCCATTGACGTTAAATGTGAGTATGAAGACAGAATTTGGTTCTATGGTTTTTTTTGAAGATGAATAACCATTTGCTAGTGCTACTTGTGAAGGGAGTGGAGGAAGAAAGAAAATATCTATACTAATTGTTTGATTTAAGGTTGAGGTGTAATGCTTATTAAAAATATGAACCAAACTTCTGGTGTGTTCCTGTAGTCCTCACTAATCCCATTTAAATACTTGGCCCCCAGTTCAGCAAAGATTTAAGCACATAGTGAAATCCCCATGACTTAAATGCTTAATGAATTGAGGCCTTAAAGACCAGCGGGCAACAACGTCTGTGGTTTAGTCACAGGGAAATGCAGTGTTCCTCCCTCAGCCCTGGTTGGGATGCCTCATATCTTTAACCTAATGAACAAGAGCGCACACACACATCTAAGCTCCTTCTCGTCCTGCAGGTCAAGCAGGCTGACAAATCTGTCAAGATGTTAGTTCCCACCAATCGCAATGCAGGGGATAGCCACGGTTCCATGAAAAATTCAATTCCCATGAAGGTTGGAATCCTAATCTGTACCAGTGTCATGCATAATTATTGCATTTACCATGTAATTTATAAAATTAATCTGTTTACATACCTACTTTCTACTTAAAATATGTGCACTATGAAAGTATCACTCAAAATCTAAAATTAGAAATCTTACTCAGCATTTCTGCCTTATTCTAGCAAAAATTAATGCTTTTTATGCTGATTACTACCCAGTTTTACTGATAAAGTAAACTTTAAATATTTTCTATAAGATTAAAGTTTAAAACTAAGTAAGTTTGAACAAATGTTACATTCTAAGTAAATACTGTTTGTAAAAGGAAAAGTAGTTTAAGACCTAACTCGTAGCATGCTGAAAGCAAGCAAATTTTTACATCATCTCATTTAAAGGTCAGAGATTATCTGGAAATTGAAGGACCTGACAGAAGCCAAATTATGCCCACCCCAACTCACAGTAAAGTAGTACTTTACTCTATGACTAGTTCTAGTGATATGAATTAGGGTTACCAGTGAAGTAAAATATGACTAGATACAATTAAGGGTTACCAAATCAGACCCCAAATTGAACTCAGCCCCTGTTTAAAAAAAACTTTACATTTTCCTGCTGAAATTCTAGTAATCACTTTTTTACCAAATATATAAAACCTACAAATAAGTATATTTGTCAATATATTTATTTTCAGGGCTTTTTTAAGGTTAAAACTATAAACATTTTGTTTGATAATTACAATTATTTTACTTGATAAAAATCTTTGTAATATTGTTAGTTCTATATAAACATCCTAATTTCAGTCTTGGTCCTTGGACTTCAGTGGGTGAAGGAATGGGCCTTAAATAGCTGTTTAAAGATGAAAATGAGTCTTACGTAGAACCTGCACCATGAAACACATTTCTTCATAAATTTCTTCTACAGACACGTGCACATTGCTTTGGAATCATCCAGTTCATCAATGCTCACTCCATAAAGATTAATAAGTTGTGGGTGCACCCTACGAAGTGAAGAAATAAAAATAAAGTAACTTATTAACTCTATTGTAGTTTTCATGTAACATTTTCTTTGAGGACAAATTTATATAATACATTATATGGAATAAAATTAAGCTGGAGTATGCTTACTTCCAGTCTCTTCTTTGGATTACTAAAAACTTCAGAGAGAGAATCTTTTTAATTTGGAGGTTTGGGTTGGAAAGGGATATCATGGTCCCTCTTTCATTCCCCCCACATCCGCACCCTGTGTTACAGTGAGCCTCCCACCATCAGCTCCATGTTTCTGGGTGGCCACAGTGTTGTTATTGGAGAATAAGCCAACTCCCTTTTCCACTCCAGGGATTGTTCAACTGTGTGTGTTCATGTATTTCCATTCCTTAACCATCCTCAAATAGCACTAACTCTTCACAATCAAACAAGTTCTGTTGTATGGCACTACATATTTGGTTAACTCTGCAAATACACAAAAGGCAGGGTGGGTACTTCCAAGCAGCAGACTTAAGTCTGATCTCAGAATTCAGGGCCTGGCTGGTAGGGAGTTCATCTTGAACCTTCAAAAAAGGCCCTCTTTTCAACCTGAAATAAGGCCCACTGCATTATGAACTTAGTGTAACGACAACCTTCTTCTCTCCAGGCTAAACATAGCTCACTTTGAGCAACATCAGCACCCCGTTTTGTGATACGGGGATTACAGAGTGAGCAGCAGTAAAATATGAACATTTGCAACATTCCCTATACAGTACTTGTATGGGAATAATGTGGCAAATTTGTGATAATCTCTTAAACACCCAACTCACACTGGGCCCAGTTTTTTAGATTTTGTAAAATACAAACTTTTATAAAATGTTTGAGTTCAATAAAACAATTCCATTCAAAAATTCTATTATATACAGCCTTGAGATTGATAGAAATTCTATTCTACCCAGAAACTATTTTTTTTCTTGGACAATATACTAAGCTGTCAACACTTATGCAGAGGACCCTTCGGTCCTCAACAACGCAGGGACCTGTATTGCCACAGTATTAACTGAATATACAACTTTAACATGCAAAGATAGACATGCAAAGTCCATGGTGTGCTTGATTCTGCTCTCTCATAATTGGTGCAATCCTCAGTAGTTGAAAAATGTAATTGCAGAAGCACATTTTCTAAGATATGCACTGATACATTGATGTATTATACTATTACGTTCTTTTTTAGAACCATTTTAAATAATGGCAGAATATAGACCTGTCTGACAATTTTAGCAACAAATTTTCCTAAAGTCAACTTTTTGGGGGAATGTTATCTCTTGTACACAAGAAAGAGATAACACTACAATTGGCCAAGTCTAGCAGGTGTTTTGCCTGACTACGCCTGCAGGCTAGATATCACATGTGATGGGCCAATAGTCTAGTTCATCAAATCCATTGTTACTATGTTTAGCCTTACCGAACGTGAACCTCTGATGCTCCTTCCATTAAATCTCCATCTATATTCCAAGGATAATTCCCTTCTGCAGAAGTAGCATGCAAAAACACATTTTCTTCAGTGTCATACCCAATTTTAGTTCTTGGTTGGACTTTTACTTCCTGAACTGCATAGGTCTCAACAAAGGGAAAATTAAACTAAAACAAACACAAATGTGTATTAGTTAAAGAGGTAACTCAAAATAGGTTAAAACTGTGAAATTAAAAGCTTACTTTTTCTCCTTAAATACACTAGAACCTCAGACTTAAACTGAATGAAGAATATTTCCTACAATAAATCTTCCCAGGTACAAGAATTTCAAAACAGCTATTTATGTGGAGTACGTAGAGCACAGTTTTATTTCCCAGCTTAATATTTAGACTATTTAAACATAAAGATCATTAGGTGAAGTACTGTGGCTTTCTCTGTGTTATGAAGTACCTACCATATTGTTGGCCCTCAATTTCTATTATTCCCATGGTTTTAGATTAATATGAAAAGTATGTAAAAACAAGTTAAATTTAGTTAATCCTAAACCATCAGACATACATCTTCTGAACATTTCATGGTAATTTAGATCAAGAGACTAACATCTGAGCAAATTTTTTTTTTATTTTGGTACAGAATGGCAATGTCTGAGGCAGAGAAGCATCTGGAGTTGCCTAGAAGTGGATCTTTCTTGGGAAAGTACTCACTAAGAAATTACAAAAAACAGGGAAGAAGGATAAGGGAGACTGAGATATCTCCCACAGAGAAGCCAGAATTTGCTGAAGAGTGCTGATTTCAGTAGGAGACTTTTAGGCTACAATTAATTGTTCTTCCCCAACTGAGTAGCATAAAGCCAATGACAGGTTTCAGAGGAACAGCCATGTTAGTCTGTATTCGCAAAAAGAAAAGGAGTACTTGTGGCACCTTAGAGACTAACCAATTTATTTGAGCATGAGCTTTCGTGAGCTACGGTATACATCTGATGAAGTGAGCTGTAGCTCACGAAAGCTCATGCTCAAATAAATTGGTTAGTCTCTAAGGTGCCACAAGTACTCCTTTTCATAAAGCCAATGCACTCTGATCGAACAATGCCTCAGACAAAGACAAGCATTGTTCAGAGTTTTAAGCTTCAATGGATTACTATATTACTAAAATTCACATATAAACTTGCTTTCTTTAACATTTTTACTTCCTGAACCATACACACACACACACACACACACACACACACACAGAGAGACAGACTTCATAGACAGAAAAACTAGCTGATCTAAGTAGGATAAGTTTTAGAGAACAGGAGCAGCAAACAAGGTGTCTTGCTGATTTTCAGGTATGAGGCAGCATGAAACTGGGAAACTTGGGAAAGAAAAAAGAACAAGGAGTACTTGTGGCACCTTAGAGACTAACAAATGTATTTGAGCATAAGCTTTTGTGGGCTAAAGCCCACTTTATCAGATGCATGCAGTGGAAAATACAGTAGGAAGATATAGATATATCTGTATATATACACACACCATGAAAAAAATGCAGGTTGCCATACCTACTCTAAAGAGACTAATCGATTAAGGTGGGCTATTATCAGCAGGAGAAAAAAAACTTTTGTAGTGATAATCAGGATGGCCCATTTCAAACAGTTGACAAGAAGGTGTGAGTAACAGTAGGGGGAAAATTAGCATGGGGAAATAGTTTTTAGTTAGTGTAATGACTCATCCACTCCCAGTCTTTATTCAATTTAATGTTTTCCAGTTTGGAAATTAATCCCAGTAAAGTACAGTATCCGATTCACAGATGAAAAGCATTATATGAGCGCTAAGTAATGCATTAGAGCATTACCAAAAAAGGTTCCAGTTTAATGGTGTTCATGTTGGTGCACTATGGATACAGAAAACACACTAGTAAATATCAATGTAGATAAAGCAAGAGACATTAACTACCCATTTGTCATGCAATTTTTTCAGTCATGTACATTTTATGGGCAACTTGTTTCCTGGACAGAACAAACTAAAATCTTGACTCTGGCTTTGATCCCATGAAATGTATTGTTTATATTCAAGCCAGTGTTCATAATTTAATGTGCTATTTTACTTTGAATAGTGACTCAACAGAAATGGTATCACAGGATTCCATTTTTATTGTCATGCAATTATTTCCAGATACATTTGCTCACTTTACAAGCAAAGTGGTGTATTTTTCAACTCTGCAGACTTACTCAAGGATTTGAAAGTTATGCTGTGTTTTTCCAGCTTGTCCATCATAACCAGTAACCCTGACCCAAATGAGGTGAGCTATAGGCATAGTAAAGGTTCATGTAGATTATAATGTGGGTCCACGTTTCCTTTCACAAGTGCTAGCTGACAGAATGAGAAAGGCTAAAGCCTTTTCTGAGGCATATTGGTGCTGCCACCACAATATGGAACTAGGCATCTCCCAGGGATGACATCCAGCACAAAGGAAGGACACCTCTTCAAAAGGTCCTAAATTCTGAACGATTATTTGAATCAAACCTAAACTTGCCTATCACTAATTTTACATAATGACATGACTCATTTGGAAGATGATCAGTATAACATGAAAGTATACATTTACTTCGGTTTGCACTAAGTATTTTGAAGCAACAGTGAGGCACTCTGATAGAAGAAACAAAAGCACCACTTAACTCTAATTTCTGTGATGCAGCTAAAGAAAAAGTGGAATATTGACCATGTGTTTTTAAAGGGCAGATCTGGAAACCTCTCCTACAGTCCATTCATATCCAGGAACTGGGGTCTATGAAAATCAAAGGGCATAATCTGCTAAAACTACTGCTGCCATCATAGCATGCAGTGATTTGCCAAAATTGTGGACTTAAGTATTTGTTTGTTCTGAAGAGTAGCATCTGGTCCCCAGTATGTGCCCTTAATCTCAGTACACTAAATTTAAACACAAAATTTCTCTGTCCTTATTTTAGTTTAGAAGCTTTACACTTTTGTGCAACTGCTGGTGTAAACCACATATAAACTAAACCATAACAGATGGGCTGAAACAGGCTAATCGGTAGTAGTCTGATTAGAGATTTTCAAAAATCAGATAAAAGGGGGCTAATGCATTCTGACAGGGAAACTAAGTCTCCTTATGAGGACACTAATGTTAACTCCTGTAGCATGTCTACCTTCATGATTAGTAGCTCTTTTATAATCACACAAAAAAAAAATAGGATTAACTGTACCTGATTTTTTACACTGGCATATCTTTTCAGATGTTTTATAAACTCTGCCCGAGAAGTGTTTCGAACAACAATAAGAGCCATGCTACCATTATTCAACCTGAAAAGTACGTTTTGATTAAACTAATGTTACATTCAAAGGTCTTAAGTCCTTAAACTAAATTCACAATCATTTTAAATTGGTTTAAAAATCAATATAAAACAAGATTAACTTTACTAAATTTATTCAGATCTTTTCAATATACTTCAGTGATTTTTATTTAGTTATGAATCAAATACTTTCCCAGCAATTATACATAAGAATCAGCTTACTCTTGAGAGCTTCTTATTCTGATGCTTACTTCACATGAAATTAGAGATACAGTCTAATAAACTATCATGAGAGAATTACAGATTAAGTTTAATTGTTCTACTGCTTTATATATACAAATGTTTAAATTTAATTCAAATCACTTTAGTTAACTGTGGCAAAAGGGGAAATCTATAGATTAAATGAAATAAATGGTAAATAGAATTCTAAACCAAGGAATAACAGCAATACAGTGAACATTAAAAAGCTTTGAAATTTTTCAGTTAATTTGTTGATTACAGTCAGCTTCAGGAAAAAAACAATGTAGATAGGAATCCATTATACTTAAATTATGAAATTAACATTAATTAACATTAATCTAACATTATTAACATTAATCTAAAGTCATTTCACATAAAAAGCTGATGAATTTCATATAAAAATCAATTAAAAGTAAATCTAGTTGTAGAATACTGCCATCAAATTAATATTTGTACATGTTTGCTTACTTAAAAGATGATATAAAGACTGTCCTTTCACAAAACAACATCATACATAAATCGATGTATTTCTATTAATGGAATTATCTTAATTTACACCATCTGGGCATTTGGCCTTTAATACTTGCATTAGATTGTAAACTCCTCGGGACAGGGATTTTATGGTACACACAAGTTTTGGTGCCAAAGACATCCTTCAGTAGAGGGGTCTGTTATGTACAGCAGCCCACAAAATAAAACATCAACAGGAACAATGAATAAAAACTGTTTAACACAGAAAACTATGATAACAATCTGCGATATGAAAGTAAGGAACCTTGACTGATAAATTCACCTCTTACAGCAATTGACAGATGTTCATGAGACTATTCTAATCTCATACACAAGACACCAACATTCTGACAGTACTACTGGAGTTTACAATCAAGAGTTAAATGAAAGGAAGGAAAAACTTGGAGGAGAACAGCAAAGACTTGAGATCCTATCAGCTTGAGGACATGATGGACAGAGGCAGCATCTATGAGGATGATAATTTCATTGTATAGTGTCTGCTAAGAAGTGGATGCCAATGTTCAATCTGAAAGTTACAATTTAAGATACTGTCTTCCTAAAATGCTGCCATAAATCTTTCTGAATGGGCTTTATCCCCTGCTGGGGACTTTGCCTTTGCACACACTGAATTCTGCATTGCTACATCCCTGTGGACCTCAACATTCTGCAGAGTATCCTCTACAGTGGCAACTCTTAGTTTGGGACAATCTTTTTTTGTTGTGGAGTCATCTGATGTTGCAGAGGTTTTCTGAGATGGGATGCAAGGTAAAGGAGGTGTTTGAAAAGTTCTCTCTAGCTCACTATTTTATGATCAAGAAACCCACATATTCTGCCAGGCAGGCATATAATTTTGTGCAACAATATCTTATTTAGTCATTATGGCCCACATTTTCAGAAGTGACTAGTGATTTTGAATGCTTCCATTTTTGTGTGCCACTGAGATACTTTCAAGGGGGATGATTTTTAGAAAGTGCCCAGCACCTACACTCTAAAAACCAACCCCTTTAGGGTGTCTCAAGCAGGGCACCCAAATACTGAGGGATCCAAAATCATAGTCACTTTTGAGGCTTTAGACTAGTAGCTGTAAAACTGGATTAACACGAACAGTGGTCAGTCAGACCCAATGTATTCAGTCTGATCAAAATGTCTTGTAAGATGCAAATGAACAGGCTCTCGGGGGGAAACATGACAGTTGGAGTGAAGACAGTAGGCGAGGTTGCAGTGGTGGCCAAGTGCTTCACAAACGGCTCACATTCCTGCTGCAATTGGTGCAGCATTTGATCTTCCACCCTGTGCAGCGCTGCTGCTGTTCACTGTGCTGCAAGAGGCACCTGCAGGGGAAGCACCCCTCTCTTTATCTAGCTGAGTGCTTCTCCTTGGCCATCTTGTTAGAAGAACAGTGCTGACAGCTGGAATTCAGGCTGTGTCGAAGACACAGTAGTACACTGTTATCTGAGATGCTGGGGGGGAGGGGAACAAACAAATTCATCTGCACTTGGGCTCTAAACAGTGCCTGGGAGGTGTCATTAGATCTGCCACCATTGAAAGACAGGGGATAGATTAGAGAGGACGAGAGAGGAAAGTTGAAAGACCTTCTTCCTAAAATCTACACAGAACCTTTTCTATTGCCTGGAAAACTGCACTGAGAGTGAACATGCTGACAGAATAGATTTCTAAACAGTATAGAACATCAACATACTATCTTCAAGTACATACTTTTTCTCTTAAGAAACAAATAAATACTACTACTAATAATAATCCAGGCTATGATGCCTTACATTTCCCTCTCTAAGGAAGACTGTTCCGGTATGAAAACTTTTCAGTAAAACTATCTCCCACAGAGGAGCCATATCCCAAGAGTACATATGGATTGGTGAATTTGCTTTTCTGAAGAATATCTATTTAAATTGCTTACAAGGCAGGCAAGAGGGGCTGAAGCGAACAAAGCAAGTTATTATACCTAGTGGTGAGTAGCCTTTTGCCAAAAGCCAATGAAAGTTGCATGAGATCTGGTGTGGTATGTGAAACCAAAACATCCCATACAGTTGGGAAACTGCAGAAAAAACAACAGGCACAAGGTAAAGGCAAACTGACTGCATGACTGACGAATGCAATGGCTATTTGTCCAGTTCTTCTGACTAAAATGGGCTAATGGCTGGGGCACAGTTGATTATGAACTCACTATTCACAGTTACCACTTTTCATACTTTGCTAGCTATCAGATGATAAATATTTTCAACATTTCAATCTGGGATTATATTCAAATTAGTTAGCTAAAGGTGAAAAGATCTAACTTTCGTAACCAATCGCCAACACTACACAGTTCCCCTGAAACTATGAGAGATGCCTTTTTAATTTAGAGGGATTAGTAAAAATTGTGTTTCCTGAATTTGTCAAAATGACAAAATAAGCATTTAAAATTCTTTATGGTAGGGGAAAAAAAAATCAACGTGACTTTCCCAACTGAAGAATTCCAGTTCAAGAGGAATTTTTACGAGAAATCCATGACCCACTTTTCCTCCTATTTCAAGAAACCTGAGACAGATGATTACTTGATGACTACTACTTAAGTCAGTCTTGTCAACTAATTTAATCACAGTAATTATCCAATGATTATTCTAGTTAGATGACTTGATCCAAAAACTGATTACAATTCTTGAGATTATGGAGTCAAGTGCAGTCCATCCTCCCCCCACTACAAGAGGGTCTAGACTGCCCGAGACACAGGCAGGCATTCCAGGAAAAGCCAAGGTTTTAGAATAAGATGTCAGAATTTATAGACATTACTCTAATTCTTTAAACCCGTACTGACCTGGTATTAGGTGCCAAGCCTCTTGGTGCCATTGAACATAGACATGGGATTGCCATAATGCTCACATTCAGGAAGTAATCTTGGATTGTGTGCCACTGAACCTTGCTGTCTAAATAAAACAGAGTAATTTGGTATTACATTAGTTTAACCAAACACAGTTCACTTTTCAGGACAATTTAATTTGAAACTCACCAGATTTTTTAAGTCTCTCTTTCTTCGTTCTAAAAATAAAAATGTGTCACATAAAACAATTAAAAATAATAAAGAATGTAAAGAAATAAAATTTTTAAAGTAATTGAACAATGTTTAATGTTACAGTTTAAGAATAAATTAGATCTCTGACACTGGAAAAAAGTGAACAAAAATGGAGTAGCGCTTGTCTGACAGGTCCTCTGTACTGCTAACATCAAAAGTAAAACAACAGAGCAAGGTTAATGAATACTTTATATAAGGGAAAAATTAATAGTTAACTAAATCAATCTTAAAAGAAAAAGTTCCATTTTGCCTTGTTATAATATTGCATCAAAACAATATTTCATTTTGTTCTAATTTTATCTTCAAAGATACATACTTGTATAGATACAGGATTGTTTAAGTCAGGTTTACTTACGTAACATTCTCCTGGGAGCCCTGCAGCGAATTTTTCAGAGGTAGAAATGATAACTCACATTCCTCTGGCCTAGAAAAATATTGACATTCATTCCACATAAACCAATATTCTGACTGCTAAATCTGCTTTTATCAAGGTTAAAATAATTTTAAGATGATGATGCTGAATATACAGAAGCTTCTCCTAATTAAATGGTGACATTGCAAGGAAGTCAATGGTAAAACCTGAAAAGTGTCTGCCTGCAGTCTCATTTTTATAAACCTTAAGAAATATATTAATATATATTTAACATCTGGTAAAACTGAGGGTAATAACATTACATTTTAATGAGGAAAATAAAAATATTGAAAATAAACCAGCATACTTTAGACTTGCCAGTGTTTTAATTACAGCAAAATCTCTCCGCTGGTTGGAGGGCATCCAGCGATGCTTTTCTGCCAAAGCCAGAGTTCTTGCACCAAAACCAAACATAGCTGAGAACCCAAAACGAAGAAGCTTGCTTGGACTACTGAAAGTGCAGATGTCCACTGGTTGTATATGTCCTGAAATATTACAGCAGACATCAAAGCTGCAAATATTCCATTAGTTTGCAACCTAAACTTACCTACACAAAGTCCCTTACATAACAGATGCATGATTTGATGGTCAGGTGAAAACTGGGTTTTCATTGGCCAAGTTATAAGGACTTTAAAACATACTTCAAACATACATGCTGGTTTCTATCTGATAAAACTAGCTGCCTATGTTCGAGACATGGGAACCTATAAAAACTGAATGAAAATCATCATTAATAAACTCTCTCTCTCTCAGGTTTCCATTGGATTTGTGCATATGTGAAAAAGAAAGTGAAGTGAAATTTCCAATCCAATGTACCGGGGCATGTTCAATATTAATATTTGAAATGGAACAAGTGCTCTTGCATCGATTGACATATTAACCAATAAAGCATTCAGCTAAGGTCTAGCAAGCAGTTACACTTGATGGAACAGGGGTTTTTTCCCCCATTTTTCTTTTCAAGAAAGTCAATACAGTTCCATACAAAAATCTGCCTTGAAAAGGAACATTAATGATGCAAAGTGAAATATTCAAAATTCAGGAAAAGTCAAAGTTAAGATTCCACTGGCAACCTTAACTCTGTCCCTTTTGAATACACATAATATTGAATAGCATAATCACATATTATTTTTCATATACTTAGAAATTCTGCCCCATTTATTGTGCACGTTGGATGGTGAATGATGCCATGTTGTGGAGTAAACAACTACTTCCATCCAGAAATTGTTGGTATGCCTTGAACCCACACCGAAAGATGAGGATAAAAATTGCTTCAATCACTGAATACCACCCATTTTTCCTACTATTATTAGGCAGGCATCCTGAATTTTAAAAAAGTATGATCAGGCCAGTGAATTGTGTATCATAATGCACATACATAAGGGACAGAGTTAAAGGTTGCCTGTTCAACTCTGGCTTTTCCTAACTTACTAAATTAAAAGAAAAGCAGTATAAACCAGTTAATCAATGACACCATCTGCCATGGAATGTGGTGAACTCTCATCGATGCAGCTACTAATAGTAATACTAGATACCCAAGAATAGTTTATCAAGAACAGTTTAGAGAATCAACTTTGTTACAATACACAGTGGATTAGATCTCATAGGAGAGGTCCCTTTCAAACCAAACTATTTTATGATATAAACTTCACCCTGACACAACAAAGTATCATTGATTTGTTAGGCAAGCACTCTTCCTTTATGAACATGTATTCAATTTTTTAAGTAATATGTCTTTTAATTATCTGAAAGCTTCTGATAACACATTTATGAATTACCCATTATAATATGTAATGTTGCAGTTACTGCATGGTTGATTCCATGAAGAGTATGAGCCAAAACATTAGTGGAACCTGTAAAAATTAATACAAACAATTGTTATAAGAATGGTACTGAATGATAGACTGGAGAATACAAAACAAAATAAATAAAACGATGTTTCACTCAATATAGACTTTTGAGGAAGAAGAATTTGGTTGAATTTGTAACTGGATTCCTTTGAATAAACTTTCTACTCTACAGGGCAAGACTCTTTAGCCTGGTCTACTATATAAAGTAACTTGTAAATAGAAGTTATGTTGCAATTGTAAACTATGCATCATCCTCTGCCTATTGATTACTGCCTTCCTATGTACGTAAAAAATAACAATCCTCACTTCAAGTCCATTAGCAATAAACACAATTTGGGCCTACAAAAAAAAAAAAAAAAAGCTAGGCAAAGGAGTGTGGATCTTTGAAAAGGGTATTTAAAAGTAGGTAACACTCTGTGGCAGCAATGAAAAATTTTGGAAACCTGAGGCCACCTTAAATTTCACAGCACTTAACTTGGCTATCAGAAAATCACATGCGAACACAAGAAAATCTACTAACAAAAAAACTACACATCCTAATACTAAGAAAGTAAACAACTTAAAAGCAATATTTCGCACTAAAATGAAAGGTACATGTTTGCAACAAAGAAACATCGATATCTCCGATGTCCTACTGAAGGGAGGAATTACAAAACTTGGGAGGCGCTATGCATCCAAATATATAGCTAAAACCAAATCCTGAGGTTCTTATTCAGTGAAACTCGTACTGCTTTTTGTAATAGTTTTCTTGAGTAAGGATTGATTAAGAACTGGGAGGTCAGTCCCACAAAATGCTTAGTATTTCCAGTGAACTCATCTCACATGAAGTTCAACAGGAGTTGAGAGTACTCAGCCAGTCATGGGAAGCCCTCAGTACCTGGGAGGATGAGGCTCTGAGTAATGACCCCAGGATTTACACCACAGGAAGGAAAGAATTGAATGCATCTAACAAGATGCTGCGTGTAGAACCACCTTTGAAATTTACATCTTCAGTTTTGCAATGCACCTCATGGAAACAATCAGGGTGTGTGAATGCAATAGAAATTCTATAGAGAATATTGTCCAAACTTTAAGAATTCTAAAGAAGCTGCATTTTTTCTAAAGAATTAAAAATTTAATCTGACTCATTCATCTCTTCTTTGCTAAAGAAATTGTTATACAATTAACCTTTTTATTCAATTGCATTCTCTCTTCCAAAACCAAAAAAAATGTTAAATTAGCGTTATGAAGTACTTTGAGGTGCAAATGGAAACGGACAGGTTCAAAAGAAATACTATCAACTTGCTATGCAGCACACTAATAGGACATTACAACTAGATACAGAAAACAATTTCATAAATTCCATCTACAATTTATAAATCCATCATTCAGTTGACAGAACAAGTATTTTCTCCATGTTATTTGATTTTCCCTTCCTTTAGTGGTTGTACAATAGATGTCAAAATACAAAGCAAAATTATCATTTCTAAAAAAAATTTCCCTATAAGATACAATTCTGTGGGCTTTTTAATTCAGTGTCTGTAATACTATAATGTATAGCACTTGAAACATTTTTGGTTAGAAAATTAATCAGCATTGACCTCAAAATTTATCTTTGGCAAAAAATCTCAAATGCATGTTCAATACCATTTTATGTTTTAAAGGCCATTATAACATGTAATCTCTGGAGTTTGAAGCACAGGGTCTGAACCATTGCATGACATTTCATAAATGAAGTTGTTCAAAATGGTTTGGTTAGAATCATTTTCCAATCTTAAAACAAAACTGTTTTTGCAAGCCTAATACATGTTATGTAAGTGCTTGTGTGAATCCCAACTCCATCAGTACTTAAAAGATGGGAAAGTTTGCGTACTGATACTAATGACTTACTAGGGGTTTTAAATGCAAAATTCCCTCTCCAGAATTACAGTAGGAGAAAAAACAGGTATGCGTACAAAAATCCCCAAAACCACACAAATTGGATTATTAGAAACTGTTCAAAAATAATTTTGCTTTCTATTGACTGCAATAGGGGTGCTATGTTTTTGAAAAATTTCCACTTGCTGTCTTTAGGGATCAAGCCAATAAAGACATTGCATAGGGTGAAATACAGTTGATAGATCAGGACCAGTCTGTTTTGCACTGTTGGGGTTGCCTGATTTAAGCAGAAGCAACTTGCTACTGCAGCCTGAAGCGAATTTATGAACGGCTAGGACCTGACTGACGTCAACAGCAATCTTCCCATTGACTTCAGTGAGAGTTTGATCAGGTCCTTACTAAACAAATAGGCCCCAAGCACTGGACCCTCCTCTTAAATCTATATACTATGTACTAGACTAGAAGCCGTGAACATGCACATTTTCACTTGAAGACAAGACAACAATCCACCTTTTTTTCGTCTCATGTAAGGAGGCAAAATACTTGTGGACATTTAAAAAAAAAAAAGGGACATATTTGGGACTTGTGCTCAGAAAAGATCCTGTCCACCAGTACCATTAAGAACAGATCTAGAACACATCCACTTATATGCTACAACATTTTTCTCCCAACCAAACTTGTATTATTTAACATATATATGATGGTAGTGCCCAGCAACCCCAATAAAGCATCAGGATCCCATCATACCAGGATTACACAGACATACAATGTACTGCAAAAAGTCTACAGGTAAACAGTAAACAGTCAGACAATATATAGGCAAAATATTAAAAGTATACTTGCTTGCCTTTTTAAGCTATTTATTAATTTCCCAAATTATGTCCTCCTTCCTTTCTGGTGTGAGATGTTATTTACCCTACATTTACCAGAGACTGTGTGGTGCCTCTGCACCTTGTCACTTTAGGGAGAGGGAGAAAATGAATGCCATGAACCCATAAGCTACACAGTGCAATCATTATTTAGCCTTCAATATTTAGGTACCACTCATAATAAACTATTTGTTTTTAAAAAGATTCAACTTTTGGCACTATTCTACAGAACTATCACAAAATATATTTTAAAAAATTACAACAGATTTTTTTATCCAGAAAAATAAAATTCTAGTTAGAATTTTCTCTTCTTTCTCTGACAATAAGCTACTTCTCACTATCCCCTCTTCAAAGCATCAGAGTTATGACAAAAGTGTAATAGTTCATCTCAAGCATGATGGAGTACCAGGCAGAAATTGTAAAAAAAAATAAAAAACAACAACCCTGTTCTTGGAAGTACATGCACTTCTGCAAAACAATTAATGTAATTAACCAGACAACATGAATATTCATAAAGCTGTTAATGTCTCCCACATCCAAACAGATAAATGTGATGTAATGACTTCCTAGTCAAGCATATCTAAAATTCTCATGAAAACTGCACTAACACTTTCATTCTTTGCCTGAAATATCATAGAAATTAACAGTCCCTCGGTAATATTTTTATTGTCCAATTAATTGGAAAGCACAAATTTATTTAAGTTAACTATTTAGGATGATAAGGATCAGAATCATCAGTGTATAGATTGTCTCTTATTTTATAACAACTGGATTGCTTTTTTATTTTTATGTTCTTCCAGTTTTCCCCCCTCTATCTGAATCCCTTTGTACAGTGCCTTAGCAGTAGTTCCCATAGCAACAAACACTATTGCTAAGGACCAGCAGTACAACTGCAGGCTTCCCTACATCTGATCCATTTGATTTTGACCACAATACAGCAGCTTGGTCTACTGACTTGAAGTATTTTAGTAAAAACACACTCCCTCTGGGTCTCTCTCTCCAGGAGGCTAACTGCTCCAAAAGCAGTCCTCTCTCATCAAGTATGCTGAAACTTGAAAACTGCTGCTTAGCACTCTAAATCTTATACCAACTCTAAGGGGCAGAAAATGAACGCTAATCCGTGTAAATAATATACTCTCTAAAATACCTTCTATTCTTAGTCATCTCAACCAGAAAAGCATGGTATTTTGTGCAGTGAATTTATTTATAAAATTACTTAATGATCTATAGCTATATCTTTTAAATACACACAAATATACTACTTTATCCAAAACCGGTAATTTATGAAGTACATATAATCAGCATGACATAATACTTAACCAAAATATGATTAAGAAAAATATAAAACTCTCTCTTAAAAGGCATGTATTATATTCTCATTATTTATATTAGTTTAATCATCCTACAGTTCAACTTACTCCCAAACATATTCTAAATCCACATTCCTTTGGGTGCACCTATCTTTCTTGGTTGTGATGTACAACTCCTTATTAATAAACTCAAGAGAATAAGTACTAATGAAGAGGAACAGTAACCTAAGCACATCCAAATTGCATGAAGTAAAAAGTTGGAGAGATTCCATCTCATAACACCACCACCACATTCGCAGCAACTCAAATGGCAAGTGAAGGACAGAATGCTGGCCTAACATTATTTTGCTTCATGTAGCTGAGATCATTGTGTGGTCTCTCACTAAACCATTCCCTTGTTTTTGTGTACTTTAAATCATATCTAATATAATCCATCATATTTTTCTACTAATTATTGCTTATTTTAAATACTGCATTTTGAAAATGTTTTTGCTGTTATTTACAGTTTGTAAAAGCAAAAGCAAGTTGAAGTTCTTTAATACTACTTGCAAAGGACTACCATGATTTATTTAAAAAGGAGAGGAATATGGATAGCTGAAATCATTCCAAAGGCAACCCATGCACTTACTTCAATATTTCTTATGGGAAATGATTTAAAAAGTACGGTATGAATGGCCATTAGCTTTACAGAAAAGACATATCTCCATTTTTTTCCTTACTGGTCATAAAGGATACATGAAAAATGCAGTTACAAATATGAAGTCCAATCAGCCTGCCCCCCCAGCCCCCTAAATCCACAAACAGAAGGGACTCTCCATGCATAGATATCCCTCTTTCCCCATGGGGGTTTCTCAATCACCTCTGCAGTATCATCCCTTTCTCTGGACTCTGTGGAAATCTCTCTGCCTAGTCCAGAGTACAGTAGAATCTCAGAGTTACAAATACCAGAATTATGAACTGACCAGTCAATGACACACCTCATTAGGAACCAGAAATATGCAATCAGGCAGCAGCAGAGACACGACACACACACCCCCAAAAAAGGCAAATGCAGTTCAGTACTGTGTTAAACATAAATTACTTAAAAAAAAAAAAGACGTGAGGGTCTTAAAAAAAGATTTGACGAAGAAAATTTAAAATGAAACAAGCACAGATAGTTAAAAGCAGCATTTTTCTTCTGTAAAGTTTCAATGCTGTATTACGTCAATGTTCGGTTGTAAACTTTTGAAAGAACAACTTTAACATTTTGTTCAGATTTACAAACATTTCAGAGTTACGAACAACCTCCATTCTGAGGTGTTCATAACTCTGAGATTCTACTATTCATGCAACAAAGGGGAGCTCCTGGAAGCCTGCTCCAATGGAGATGCTGCCAAAGAAATTGGTGGAAGGAAGTAGGAGGACACCAGGGACATCCACAAGGATGGCACCATTTCCATGAAGGCATGGCGATGAAACTTGCCCCTCCTGTGGAACTTGAGAATGGGGAGGGGGAGCAGGCGGAGAACTAAAATTTCCTCTCACGGGGGATCCTCCCACAGGTAAGGAACTGATTGTGCCATTACTGTGAATTAATCTAAATAAGATTTATTTATTATTTATACTAGTAGCTGAAACAGTATAATTCAGACTGGAAATGATAGGCAAATTTTGAACAGTGAGAGTAATTAACCACTGGAACAATTTATTAAAGGATGTGGTGGATCCTCCATCACTGGAAATTTTAAAATCAAGATAGTTTTTCCAGAAGATATGCTCTCGTTCAAACAGGAATTAATTCAAGGAAGTCCTATAGCCCGTGTTATACAGAAGATCAGATTAGATGAGCACAGTGGTCCCTTCTGGCCTTAGAGTCTATAATATATCAGAGAGACTTAAGAAAGGTACTTAAATGAATCTGTATCTTCTGTTCTCACCTGCTGGTATAATGCCAAGAGGAAGTGGTGCTTTGACAGGTGAAAGAATGTAATCTGTATCTCTCCCAGCATCCATCTGAGCTCTAAGTAGTAGACCATGAGCTATCTCACTGGTAGACCCATCGCCACCAACACAAACCACCCTGTAAAAAAAAAAATCAACTATGAGGCTCAGCATTACAAGATAAATACTTTTGTTTCATATATCATAGTTGATCCATAAATGAAAGACAATTGTAACACAATAAATATCTACACAAGGACAATTCAAATACTTATATTCTAAATAGGTTTTAAAAACAAAATAATTTCTAGGTATTTGAATTGTAGTTACATATAGAGAAATACATACACACACAGAGTGTGCAGATCATAAAGACTAAGAGAAACATCACTTCCCAAGTTCAGTAACTAGACAGCTCTAAATCTGAAGTAGGACAGGTAGGTTAATAAACATGGGAAATCTGAATATGTTAGTACTCTATCTCACCTGCACTCTTTTTATTTCTTTCAGTGGCAAGAAGCATATCATTCTTGTTTTGTTCATGCTAGCATACGTAACATACTAATTAAATTAAATAAATTTGTTAGTCTAAGGTGCCACAAGCACTCCTTTTCTTTTTGATAACATACTAATGTAATCCAAAATTATAAAATACTGCTTATTTTCAATAATTTATTGAAAACTCAGAAGGCGTTAAAATAATTTATAGATAAGGTATCTTAATTTACAGTGGTGCTAATAATAATAATAATTGATGTGTAAATACTATTTTGAAGGAGAAGGTAGTTAAGGACATTGAAGTCAATGGTAAATGGGACAAAATACAACATGGTTTTACAAAAGGTAGATCGTGCCAAACCAACCTGATCTCCTTCTTTGAGAAAGTAACAGATTTTTTAGACAAAGGAAACGCAGTGGATCTAATTTACCTAGATTTCAGTAAGGCGTTTGATACTGTGCCACATGGGGAATTATTAGTTAAATTGGATAAGATGGGGGATCAATAGGAAAATTGAAAGGTGGATAAGGAATTGGTTAAAGGGGAGACTACAACGGGTCCTACTGAAAGGTGAACTGTCAGGCTGGAGGGAGGTTACCAGTGGAGTTCCTCAAGGATCGGTTTTGGGACCAATCTTATTTAATCTTTTTATTACTGACCTTGGCACAAATGTGGGAGCGTGCTAATAAAGTTTGTGGATGATACAAAGCTGGGAGGTACTGCCAATTTAGAGAAGGACAGAAATATCCTACAGGAGGATCTGGATGACCTTGTAAACTGGAATAATAGTAACAGGATGAAATTTAATAGTGAGAAGTGTAAGGTTATGCATTTAGGGATTAACAACAAGAATTTTAATTATAAGCTGGGGACACATCAATTAGAAGTAACGGAGGAGGAAAAGGACCTTGGAGTATTGGTTGATCATAGGATGACTATGAGCTGCCAATGTGATATGGCCGTGAAAAAAGCTAATGCGCTCTTGGGATGCATCAGGAGAGGTATTTCCAGTAGGGATAAGGAGGTTTTAGTACCGTTATACAAGGCACTGGTGAGACCTCACCTGGAATACCGTGTGCAGTTCTGGTCTCCCACGTTTAAGAAGGATGAATTCAAACTGGAACAGGTACAGAGAAGGGCTATTAGGATGATCCGAGGAATGGAAAACTTGTCTTATGAAAGGAGACTCAAGGAGCTTGGCTTGTTTAGCCTAACTAAAAGAAGGTTGAGGGGAGATATGATTGCTCTCTATAAATATATCAGAGGGAGAAATACTGGAGAGGGAGAGGAATTATTTAAGCTCAGTATCAATGTGGACACAAGAACAAATGGATATAAACTGGCCACCAGGAAATTTAGACTAGAAATTAGACGAAGGTTTCTAACCATCAGAGGAGTGAAGTTTTGGAATAGCCTTCCAAGGGAAGCAGTGGGGGCAAAAGATCTATCTGGCTTTAAGATTAAACTCGATAAGTTTATGGAGGAGATGGTATGATGGGATAACATGGTTTTGGTAATTAAATATTCATGGTAAATAGGCCCAATGGCCTGTGATGGGATATTAGATGGGGTGGGATCCCAGTTACCAAGGAAAGAATTTTCTGTAGTATCTGGCTGATGAATCTTGCCCATATGCTCAGGGTTTGGCTGATCGCCATATTTGGGGTCGGGAAGGAATTTTCATCCAGGGCAGATTGGAAGAGGCCCTGGAGGTTTTTCGCCTTACTCTGTAGCATGGGGCACGGATCACTTGCTGGAGGATTCTCTGCTCCTTGAAGTCTTTAAACTATGATTTGAGGACTTCAATAGCACAGATATAGGTGTGAGGTTTTTTGCAGGAGTGGTGGGTGAAATTCTGTGGCCTGCGTTGTGCAGGAGGTCAGACTAGATGATCATAATGGTCCCTTCTGACCTAAATATCTATGAATCTATAAATGTTACAAGGCATTGGTTTCTTCTTTTCAACATGACTGTCACAGTTATAGAGCTAACTGCACTCTGATCTTTTTCTTGATCTCTCTGAGTGCACCTCTTTCTGTGTATGTGCAGCCCTTTAAAATAACCCCTCGTACACACATAGGAAACAACACAAGAGCAATCAGACAAACAGAATATATAATATTCATGAATTATTACAGGCACTCCCCATATTCTTCACAATGACATGATTTCTATGTGTTATTCTTTATTATTAGGGCTATCCTGTGACAAGTCAGTATTACCTATTTTAAGACAGACTCCACTGTTAGTACTGTGCCAGATTCTGCCACCCTTACTCACATGCTGTAGTACCTTGGCTCCTGCAGGCAATCCCATATAGTCTCAATGGGATTGTTTGAGAAGCAAGATACTAATCAACATGAAAAGGATCACCAAATCTGGTCATTGCAAAACACATTAACACTCACTTAAAGTTACACATAAGAACTAGAAAATAAAATTGTAATTTTACTACAAATGAAAGCCTAACTGTTAAATCTATGTTTATAATCCAAACTGGGCACAATTCAAAAAGGAAATAAATAATATAAATAATGAAAAATAAATTCGATTTTTAAATACTCTCAAAACTTGCTGGGTAAACAGGTGCTGGAATATAAGGGGCAAGCTTCTGTTTTGGGCCAGATGGCACAAAGACATTTAGCAGTTCATCTTATTTAGTTAGAAAAAAAGAATTTTTCTCATAATGCATTTGCCATATTCTGTTTCACACTACTTTGGTATATCTTGTGGTATCATAGGCCTAAATATTCTTCAGGTCACTGATTTGAGTGTTATTCGATGTACCTGCATATGGATGCGGCAGGTAAGTAGAGGAGGCATTCTACTGCTTCAAGTAAAGTGGTAAATAATTTGAGTGTCAAAAACTGGTGGGCAAGAGTCTCGTGACATGAACTGAAACATCTTTGCCTCTCAAAGAAGCTGGCTGCAGCTTTAGAATGGAGGGCTAAAACATTCAGGGACTGGAAAGGGATGGGGCCTGGAAAAGAGCTTTATGCCATGACATTGAAGGTGGTCCATGTGCTCGTAACAGAAGGTTTGCCATGGGGACTCTAGCCGATAAAGCTAGGATATCAATTATTTGGTCACTGGCTCCAGGTCTGTGTGAACCTTCGCCTTACTGTGATTTAGTGGCGAGTGCAGGGACTAAATGGCAGTAACTTTGAGTTATGTTTAGTAAGGCTTGCCTTAAAGCCAAAACACTGAGTTAAATTCTGCTTTCATATATATTGATGTAAATCCTAAATAACTTCATTGAAGACTATGTACGCTAGACGTACGTCAGGACAGCTGAGCTCAAAATTTTGCTCTATGCATTTTTATGGATACCACAAGTGGCAGATATAAGATATAACTGAAAATACAAAAAAGAGTGTGGCTTCAGAAGCATAACAGAACTATAACTGTATAGTCATATCTGGAAAGAGATCAAAACTTCACTGCTTCATTGGCTATTCTAAAATCTAAATACAACAGTAATACCCTTTATTTCTGCTCTCTCCAATGTATATTCCTTTGTACTTCAGAGGAAAATTAAATATTATATGTGAATAACTATCTAACAACTCTTATGTATAAATCAGCTATGCAAGATAGTTTAAATAAGGTGCTGAATATTCTCGCCATTGGATTACTCATATGGATAAAATTAAACTCTTGCTTAAGTTCTTTGCTGGATGAGGGACAGAACAGGACGTTACAGGATCAAGCCATAAATGTGTGTCAGTGTTTATTAATTGCCAGAAATATAATAAAACAAGGCTAAAACCCATTTCAAGAGAGCTAATCCTGACTCTGTGAAAACATTTGAGGGATATACCAAGGCATAAAACCCTACTACCAGCAATCCTTTGCATGAAGGTACTTAATCATTGTTTCTGTAGTAGGTAATTAAACTCCCACCTGCTGTGGATATAGAGGAGAATGCTTTTGTCTGTAAAAGTACTGCTGTGGCTAGTGTCTTTTTTCTGTTTCTTAAACAGCTATTAAGCAGTTTTACAAAGCAATGTATGTGAATGTTAATAGAAGTTTCCCCAGATAAACATAATTTAATAATAAAACTATGGGCGTTAGCAAGCTCCAAACAATGTTAGGAAAATTTTTAAGAATAAAATTGATGTACAAGTTTGTTCAGAGGACGTTAAACGTCTGCATGCATGTATGTATCTTCTGTTGTATTCTTGCAACTATATCCAAAAATTCAGCCAGTTTTATAATGGTAAACTCTTTGGAAAACAAAATATATCCTACTATAAATACTGAAGTTGTATTCTCTGAACGTTGACACTTTTCCTCATCTCCTATAGTTTTTTCTTACTTATTTATTGTTAAACCAGGAGCCACCTCAGCCCCATCAAACAAGAAAGGAAGTTCTGGCTAAAAATTGCCCACATAAAAACCATTAAATCTCCATGACACAAAAGGTTGGCGCATAGTTCTTTTCTAAGTGCTAATGGCAGTCCTTGGTTGTTTGTCTGATCTTACTTTTTGTTGTTGTTAGATATCAAGTTTTGAAGGCTTATGTTGCATTCATTACTGCCTTAATCTTCCATAGGATGATATAAAGCCAGAACTCCTACAAGCACTTTAATGTGAACCCTGTAAGTGGGTTCTCACCCCCACATTAGATTCAGCAAATTCATGTCTGTATTTTTTGTTTGTTTATAGTAAAAGCCCCTGGTTGCTGGGCACTTTCTGGACATTCAGGAAGGTCAGCCTGCTGGGAGGAACTCACAACCTAAGGACAAGGTGAGGGAGGTCATATCCTGGAATCCACATGGCTACAACTACACTGCATAGCCTAAGGAGACAGACAAGGAAAACAAATTTTTGTTATTTTAATAGAAATCATCAAGAACCACTTTGTTTAGACCAGAATTAGATTCTATTGAGCTACTCTAGGGACTATGTGAAGGCCTCCAATGGGAACAAACAAACAATCATCAAGTGCAATATTCTTACCAGTTTCCATTGACACCTGTCTAACCTGAACATTTTCTCTCAAAAATGACATTTTAAGCTCTGGATTAGGGAGAAAAGACTTGCATGCATTTTCCATGTTTCTATCATAGTTCAGACTGGATATAAGAAAACAAAGCTAAGGATGTACAGCAGGCTAGGACTAGCAGCATCACCAGGGGCATGATCACCATATCAGTACTAAGGTTTGGCATTAGTGTGAGAAATTGAGCACTCTACCAAGCCCTAGGGTGGGGTGGAGATGTCCTGGTTAAAGCTGATTTAAATGTAAGCCGAAATCCAAGTACCAAAAGGGAAAGAATCACTCATCTTGCAAGGCTGAAAACAAACGTAACTCTAGCTGTCCAAAAGCTAAATCCAGCTGCTGGGACTTATATCTATCTGCCCTGTCTTGCTCAGGAAGATAATTCTGGAGAGTAGATTCCTCAAGACAATATTCCTTTTGGCTCAAGGTCCAGAATCCTCTCCCTAGTTTCCCAGGGTTATTAGCTACAGTTTCTTCAGTTCCCTGCTCTCACTAGGAACATTGCCTCTCCTTTGCTTTAGGTATTGGGAATAGGTTTTGTTGGGGAATTGCTGGGGACTGCCCCTGGTGAATCAAGGGCTGCTGCTTTCTTTCCTAATGATGGAAGGTGCAGCCATTCTGAGTGAGCAAAAAGATGATCCTTAGACACAGTGCACAAAGAACTCTGGCAAGAAACACAACATAGTGCCTTTTCCCTGTCTTGATTTAGATTTTGCATTGCTATCACCATAGCTGAAGTGGATGCAAGGTGGTAGTTGCTAGCCAGCCACCAGAACTGCCTGTCTGCACATCTCACTTACCTACAAAAGGGAAAAAAATGTAACCGAAGAGAATATAATTGCTGAGCTACAGATCCATGGGAAGAGAGTGAAATTCTTATGATTCCATAGGCTGCCATTCTGCCTGTCTCTGCCTCCCTCCCACCAAGCCACAGAAGTTACCTTTTCTAATCCAATTTTTGGTTAAAGAGATTACAAAATGTAAAAATAGACATTTGAAGTAATTTTCAGATACACTTTTAAAATTTAGAGGGTTTAGCAATTCATATGTTTTTAGTTTTTGTCTTCCCATACATTTTAAAATCCTTCCATTAAGAAAAACAAAATCTCATGAAGGGGCAAAATTTGACAGAAAACGGAAGTCTTGTATAGGTAGAACAAGCTGCGTCACACCAACATGCCTCAGCCACAAATTAGAAGAGACTCCCTTTGTGGGTTAGGAAGCAAATGTACCAGAAGGTGAAAATATAAATACTATCTTTGCAAGTGACTGTCTAATATTACGTAAGAGAGGTAGAATTGTTCTGGAAGTACTCTTGAGGTTTACAAGGCATAATTTAAACCTTGTTGTATGGATCACTGGAAAAAGTAAAAGAAAATACAAATTCAAAATAAGGCTGTAAAAATAGCCGTTAGACTTCCATGCTATATAGCACTACAGTATTACACAGGGCCTGATCCTGTTCCCACTCATGTCAAAAACAGTACGACTGACTTCAAAGTTGACAGGATTGGGTCCATATAATTTCTATTAATATTGTAAGAAAACATATTTCCATTCTTTGATTAAACTTAATTTGAGTCACTTTTTAGGAGTTTTAAGGAAAAAATGTTCAAGTTTAACATTTTTTAAAGAGAAAAGTATCAAACTTCACATTAGGAACCATTTGTATGAAAAAATCTATGAGTTTAAAGCACAGCAGTTCTGTCATTCTTGCAAATACAGAAGGTTGACATTTAAGAGAAAATGATCTGAGAAGCCTTTAATGTTTATTTTGGGCGGCCGGGGGAGGGGGGGGAGGGGGGAGTTAGGCCTGCATAAGAGAGTTATGGATTACTATCTATTCAATTATCAATAAAGAATATGAAATTTAAAATTACTAAAGGTAATTTTTGAAAACAAAAGAAATAATCACACTACAGGCGCCAAGTTTTAGAACAGAACTAATCTGTTTGGTCCAAACATGTACCTGAAAACGGGGTAATAAATTTAATACAACCTAAAATTTTACCAGCAGGCATTCTATAAATTAACTAAAATTGTACCTACGGGAGCTTTCAAAGGGGGTAGTTCAAAGCACTCTAGGGAACTTTTAGTGCATGGCAGCAGGGTCCATGGGACAATAGGCTAGTACAGGGTAGATTTACACCCCAGCTTGTTGTGAACTAAGTGCTTGTTTAGACAAGCCCTACGTGATTATTATTAGATACCTCATAGTATAAAGCAAAACTAATACCAAACTTACCCATCAAATGCGTGGAGTTCACATTCCTTTAGCAATGAGAGAGCATGTCCTTCATATTCAGTTACTATGAAAGATATTTTAATAATTAAAATACTGAAAGTTTTAAGAACTAACTTCAAACAACTTTTTTTTATCACTCTATGAAAATAAAGTAATAAGTCAGAATTTATTTTTGCTTATATTTTGATCATTAAATGCATTAAAAAAGTATTAAATGGCTTGAAAGTTTAACAACTTTATAAACAAAAAGGTCAAAATCATACTCTATTACATAAATTATTTGGTGGTGTCTAATACATAGCCAGTTTCTAATTTAAAGCTGGTGTTTTCAGATTCATAGGATGAGCAATATTTGTTCACAGGTCAAAAATACAAGTTTCTGTAATGGCACATTTGGCATATTATCGGAAAAGTTCAAGTCTATCATCAGATAGAAGTAAATTATCTAAATACTAACCACATTCAATTGACCATGTTAGAATATGCAAGCTGCTTAACTAAGAATCTGAGTTAAACATAGAAATATGAAATAAAATCAAATACCAGTGACGACAGAATATAACACAAAGAGCAAGGTGGCACAAGTATACACCAGAGTCTGGTAGCCTCTGGAGGAAATGAATCTGTCACTCTATATTGCAGTCTCTGTGATTGTTGATGCCCTGTGTAGTACTGAAAATGCCAATGAAGACAGGATAAACTAGTATACTACAGATGGCACAAAGAATCATAACCACATTTAGCATTTTCCAGGGCAGCTTTGCCAGAAGAGACAGCCCAGCTGCATCCACCCATCAAAGATTTCTGCTGACTGACATGACACTTGCAGATGGATTTTTTGTGTAAGAATGTGCATCATGATATGCAAGATTACATTAATCTTTCATGCTTGTCTGTCCCTGGTGCTAGTACAGTTCAAGCTTTTTCTTCAGTGTTTCTGGATATTGCTAAAATTATTAGTTTTGGTGTCTAAAATAATGATTCCATATCCACAGTATTATCTACCCCAACATTATAATTGTAATATTTCTATTGACCACTCAGATGCTGCTGACACGAATGGAAAGCTTCGAACTAATAAGTATATTTAATTTTTGTACTCGTCAATATTTATTTAATTTGAAAGAGATATAGAAAGCGATGTAATTTGCAGTCATTAATTACATATTACAATACATTTTTCATAATAGTTACGACAACAGAATGAACATCTTCAGAGAACTATCATTCAGCATTGCTAATGAATTTCCACAGTAATAAGTTCCTGTAACTATAAACTAAGTTAGCATACCGGGGAGAATTTGAAGCAGTATGCTATCTTGAAATCAAAGTTAGTGAATTACAATTTTGCTGCTGAAGCATATATATTGTTGCATGACCACAAACAGTTTTCTAGCATTGTTTACAATATTAGCTTCACAAGAAGTATTCTTAGGTGGATGAAAAGCTTAATATTAAGGCACTGGTGCATTCAGCTTCTTTGTTCTTCCAGGTGGGAATTTAAATCCCCTCAACAACAGCTATAGTACATAAAAAATAAAAGTGACTAACATAACACAGTTTGCAAATACATTGCTTTTGATGTGAGGATGTAAAAAAGGCTAAAACATATCATTAGTATTTCATGGTGATAAAAAAAATCCTCCTCTGCAACCATATGGTTGATAATGGGCTACACCAGAATTTTTTAAATGAACATTGCAACTTTTAAACAACTTATTATGACAGTACTGGGAAAAAATAAAAATGGTATGCTTGCTATGCTAAATTAGATATTTTTCTTTTTTTTTCTTTTGATTTTTTAAAATGTACTCAGAGGCTTCTTAGTGTAATATACATCCATTCACAAGGAAATCAACTCACAAAGAGCTTACACAAAACACACACAGCACACACGACTCAATACATTCAAGCCACCTCTTTCAGTCAAACATATGGATGAATAAAAAGACCATGAAGCACACGCTGAAGAATGAGAAATTTTGTTTATTGTTGAACCAGTGAGGGAAGTGAATTTCAGCGCGAGTGTCCCTTTCTAAGAACACAGTTCTCTTTTCCCCCCTCTAGGGTTCAAATCAGGGAACAATATGTAAACCCTGCCGGTCTCAACTCTCATGATGATGCATAAAGAGGAGAATTTCCAAGATACCTAAAAGCTTAATCAAACCACTTATGGAAGTGGTTTAAGATTTAAAGATGCAGTGTACCAAGAAAAGAATACCTAATCACTATCAAGAACCAAAAGCTGTGGAACACTGTTCATAAGGAAACTACACATGCCTCTGAACTCATTAGCTGTCATGTGATAGTGCTCTTCTTCGGTGAACTTTACTAAGAGTGCATCTGAGCAAACTAATCACTGGATCATGCAGCAAAACCTAGATTTGATGCCTGACGGCTCCCCAACATTCAGCTCCTATTTTAAAGCACATATTCATAGCTAGCAGAGCCCCATAACTCAAGTAGCCCACAAGAAACTAAGGGTTCAAGAACAACCCCTACAACTAAGATAAAAGCAAAAAAAGACAGTGAGCAAATCGTTTTGGCCTTTCAATATGTGGGACAGTTCAGCATGACATGTATAAATACTGGGTCCTTAGCCACAGACTAAACCCAAGAGGATTACAGCTGCTAATGTAGAGCAACAGATTAACTGGTGCTAATACTTGGAGAAAAAAAGCTAAAGTCCTTGGACAAACTTTATTTACTTTACAGTCAATAACAAGTGCAAGTTTTCAGTTGTATTGGACTCTCAATTACCCTCTGGGGGCCCTAAGTAGGAATATTTTTTCCCCCGCCCCCAACACATACTTGTCATTGCAAGTAAAAGGGGCTTGAGCTGCTTGAGGCCCTAAGCAATTGCTTAGTCTGCTTATGCCTAGCGCTGGCTCTGACTCTCAGTACATAGGTTTCTTACTATGTAATTTTATACAAGTCCTACCAATGTGTTATTTTACAGTTTGCTCTGCACCTAAACGTTATAACAATGTATCAATTTTAAATGATTTGACACTATAATACTAACCTTTCCCAGAAAAGGCTGATAAAGAAAAGAGTAAGATAATGAGCAGTGGTATATGTTACATTGCAATTTACTCATTTACCTATATCACATTCTCAAGCATGTGTGTGATATAGTAGCAAAGAGGTTAGTATCTCTCTCTCTCTCACACGCACACACAGATTCCTAAAAATACATTACTATATAACATATAGTAGTATTACTATATAAAATATATTACTACAGAAATTAGAATTAAAGGTAATCTCTGGTGTGCTATAATATATGGAAGAAAAACACTAATTTAATATTAGTATTATAAATAGCAAGGCATAAAATATCCAAATTTTTGAGGAAAGTTTTGTATTATCGTTTTCCAATAGCAAAAATGTTGAATACCTACAGTTATAGGTATTGCCAGCTACTTTCCTGTATTCTGTTCTATACATCAGAACTCTCTACAACCATTCTGAAAAGATTATTAAAATATTTTGTATTGTTTGGGGGTGGGAGAGAAAACAAAAGATATATAAAATATTATGATTTTTACTGTACTAACTAGCCACATTCTTATGTCACTTCAGAAGTTCATGTTCACTGTATGACACTTTTGAACAATGCATTTTAAGTTTTAAAGATGAATGTATGTAGCTGTTAATTTACAATGAATTCAAACTGAATTCTTAGGATAGAGGATTCTTTGAAGATTTCAGAAAAAAATGTTTATTCTAAGTACCCAATATTACAGTATGTTTGTGAACTGTGGCATATAACCTTACTGCCTGACAAAATCCAAAGTCATTATTTGAAAGGACATTAACATTGCTATTAGTGAGGTACCTAACCTTCTGAAAAGAGTACAAGTGAACACTACCAAAGCTTTTATTCATTCCCAATTAAAACTGTTTTAAATGTACAAATAAATGTGTATTTCTATACTAACATTTATAGAATTGTCGTGTAATTTTCCCAGTTTACCTGTAGGAGGAGTGTTAGGCAACTAATAAACCTTGCAATGCCCTGGATATTGCCAAAGTAGAACTGCCTTCAGAATAATATATTGAATATGTTTTTAGTTAGTTCAGACAGCATTTTATATAATAAAAAAATCAGAAAATAATTTAAAACTATTTTTTGTTAGTAAGAGAAACAGGTGGTTAATGTCATTACAACGATGCTTAGTTTAATTTCCTATTAACTATCTACAAAAGTTTTTATATAAACTTAGCTATTGGCAGGTTATTTGGTTTATAGAAAGAACTCCATTAGCTACTGCACAAACAGTGTTAACAGACAAATGATAATATTATCCTTTTAAAAAGTTAAAACATATCCTCCATTTATTTGCGTTTTTTAAAAAAGCAACTGAGGCAGAAACCAGCTAAATGAAAGACGGTTAGTCTTACTCGTGCACATTAAATGATTAAAAATATTCACAGTGACTCTTTATTATTGTCATACCTTGGTATTTCAGTATATCTGTTATAGATTATACAAATGTTAAATGATAAAACTTATATAAAGCTGGAGATTTTTTCCTTAAAATTTGAAACAAAGAAAAGTCAAAATGCTATTGTTAACTGACTCATTACCAGTATACAAGAAAATTAGTTTCTATTCATCTATGTGTGTTTCCATGTCTCACCTCCTATTTCTTTAATTGAACTTATATTACAAACATTATTTTTAAAACATATACAAATATTGGCACTAACATCATACACAAACAGAACCACATTATTCTTCTATTATATTCTTTTGCCTAACTTTTCAGCCTGCTCCTATCAGTCTTGCATGTGCAATCTCAGTGAAATCATGGGACTACTCACATGAGTAACCACTGCCTGATAAGGCCATCTGTCTGTATTTTGTCTAATCTGGGGAGTGATCCTGTTTTCATTAACTTTAATAGGAGCAGGTTTGGGCCCTTAAATTGTAAGCTCTTTGGTGCAGTAACCTGTCCTTTTACATGTGCATAAGGTATGAAACATATTAATAGTGACATATTAAAAAGAATTAACATCTGAAAATATAAAATTGTTTGGAGTATGAAACTTTTTAAT